AATGGGTCGGGTTAGGTGGGTGGATCACTAAATGGTTTAAATTGTATTTTTATTTTTTTAAAATTTTGGTTTGTTATATAAATATTTAATATCAATAAATTTTAATTAAAAAAATAATTTAATAGATTGAGTGACTTTTTGAGGAAAGAGTGAATAGTTGAGTGACTTTTGAATTAAAATTCAAAGTTGAGTGACTTTCTGAGAAAGAAGTGCATGGTTGAGTGACTTTTGAGTGAAAATTGAAAGTTGAGTGACTTCTGAGAGAAGAGGGCATAGTTGAGTAACCATCTGAGGTATTAACTCCATCAAAATTGAATTATGAGGAACAAGAGACAGATGAGAGGAGTTGTGGGAGGATTTTTGCTGGTGTTTTGAGTTTCGCCGGAGGCAGCAGTGGCGTCTCGTCGGAGGCAGTGACAATGGTGGCATTTCGCCAGATGCAGCCACAATAGTGATGTTTCCTTGGAGGAAGCAACAATGGTAGATTTTCACTGGTAGCAGTGGAGAAGAAAACTAAAAAAAAGTGAGGGGAGCGAAATAGAGAGGAAGAACAAGTGCAAATTCTCTTCGAAAAAATGAGGAAAAAACTTGTAATTGGTTGCTTGGGATTTGAGATTGATAATTAAAGGATACTATAAAATAAATAAAGAATCTTATTTGAGAGTTCAATTGGGTTTGATGTAAACCTAAATTGATTTTATTTTTTTTTCAAATATGATCCAAATCTCATTTTAGGTGATATAAAAATAGATCTCATTTTACTTTTAATTGATTTGAATGGTTTATAAAAATTTCTTACATGACATTTTAAAAGCTTGTGTGAAATAAACCATGTTGAATCCGGTGAAGATGGTGGTGGGAATGATGGTTTAGAGATGGTGAATGGTGGAGAAATTTGATCTTTATTGCGATGGAGAATAAGACAATAAATAAAAAAAACATATATTCTTAAATATAGATATAAAAAATAAAGTTTTAATATTAAAATTTTGTGCTCACTATCTCAAAGAGAGTGAGATACTCACTTTGCCAGCTAAGCGTTCAGGGAGGTAATACTTTTAGTTTTATAAAATTCAGGGGGGTGATAGGATCCCCGTAAAGTATGAGTGCATAGTTGGGAATCCGGCTATAGATTGGAGGGCTTTTTACCATTTTTTTTTTAAAAAAAGAGTCTGAAAAAATAAACTATGACAAAGAAAAAAGGATTCTAATTAAGCACAGAAAGAAAGTGAGAGAAATATTAACTATGGTAAAAATTCTTTAGTTAACCAAATAAATTTTGAGTCAATAGATTATTTATAACAAATGTGAAAATATCAAAAGGGTAATGGAGGAACTGGAGAGATCCATTACTGGAAAAGAGTCAAAGGGGTAAGGGAGGAACTGGAGGGATCCGTTACTGGAGAAGAGTCAAATCCTCATGCAACTAGGGTTGGGATGAATGGGGCGGGCAAATTATAAATGGCCAAGGCATTTTAGAAAATAATTTTGAGCAACTTTCACAAATAACAAACACAAATTAGTTATAGATTGCATAATTGCGCTCCATTGCAAAAGTGCTATGACTATTTCGCTATACATATATACAAAAGAATATATACAAAAGAAGCAATTGTATAATTTGTTGGCTCATCTTCAGATTTGTATAATTTCGCTGCCAAGTCATTTGTATAGATTGTTGGAAGCTATAAATCGTGGACAGTCTCTTAATTCAATTTATGTGTTTTGTATATCTTTATAAAATTTTGATTTGTATACAATTGAATCATAATAGAACGTTTGTATATCAAATATCACACTCTCTCACTTTCTACAAACATAAATTATACATTGTATTTTGTATAATTTGTGTTTGTATAAAGCGAAAAAGAGAGAAAGACTAAAAAGAACTGGGCGTGTATTGTATAGTTATATGTGTATATTAGGACGAAGATATATGTATTTGCATGTGTATATATACAATTTCTCCCGCTTTATACAAACAAAAACACAAGTAATACATTTCTCATTGTATAAATTGAGAGAGGCGAGCGACAGATGGAGCGAGCGAGAGTTTGAGAGAAAAAGATGATTGACAAACAGTTTGCTACAAGGCACAATTAAATCAAAATATGATTATATATAGCATTTTAATTAAAGTTAATAATTTGCCATTATACACAATTTTTCCAATAATCTTTTGAAATACTTTAATACTAAATAGGATAGACCAGGACAAGGTAGGACAGATTTGTGTTCGTGTTCGGCTTATGGGATAAAATTTGGCCATTAACATTGTAAATATTAGGGAAAACTACATAAATTAGACCCATTTATTAGGTGAAGTATTTATCCAAATTAGACTTAATTCAAACTTTATCCCGACTGAAATCAACGACTCAAATTATATACGCAAGTGCCCCTTGTTCTACTCATTGAACCATTGCTTTTTCATATTTAATATCATCGGAGTATATATATATATTCTCTAATGATACATACAGTTATTAAACAGTCTTTTTACTAAAACACTATGTCTTTCTCTCTGATATTATCATAGTAATACATATTCTTATGATATCAAAGATTAATTGAGTAGTGTTTTATGCGAATTAAAGACAATAAGGCTACGTAAGTGAATAGCCTCTTATAAATAGTTTCTCAAAGCAGTATTTTCCCCCCGAATATTAAGTATATCTTTATGGGTTAGCATGATAAATTCATACTTATATCAAACGCTTAAAGTTCAAAAAATGCTTCCATTTTGCATAGGAAAAAAATGAGGACATTTAATTTTCTTTTGTTACATCCGCATCGCCAACTTTCTTTTGTAATAGTATTACATCCACTATATGATACTATCTATATATTTATTATACACCATGTATCAACTTTATAGTTTATAATTGTGTTAAAAGGGTGTTTATACACATGTTTACCTTGTTATACAAAATTGTGCAATATTCCTTATACAAACTATAACAATAATTGAGTTTCGTCTGAGAAGAATTTCAACCCATGAAACTTCATTCGAAATGGATAAAGAATATCCACAAATAACTCAAATCTTCATTGAAGAACTTTAAATTTTAACCACAACTTCAAAATGACATCATCAATGAACTTTATAAACATTACAAACAAACTTTAATCATTAATTTGTCAAAAATAATTCACAATTCACAAAACTCATTTGTGAGTTTTCAAGCTTCTAAATTATCATCATATTTTAATTTACTATATGCTTAAATTTCTAATCATTCGTACCACTAAAAGTTAACAAACACGAGTTTCAACTAGAATTGTTGGGAATCTAGCAAAGAGATACCCTTCAAAAAAAATTGGCGTATGCCACTATTTGCAACGCGCACTCAGTATTCTTTAGTAAAAGGCGAAAAAATAGTTCGCTATGTGCTCATTGCGTGAGTTGAAACAAGAGCGAAGGAGCCCTTTTTAATAGTTCCACATGCTCGCTTCGTCTTGTGTAGTCGATGTGAGAGTACTTATAAGTTAAATAGCATTTAATTTGAATTTAATAATTTGTTATGATCTATAATTTTTTCCTTTTTTTATTCAACTATGTGATATACAACTATTTTGTTTAGAATTCTTGGGAGTAGATCCAAATTAATTGTGGTTCCTCAAATGTAACGTAATTTACTCTTTGCTGCATTCAATAAATACCAAAAATTGTAGCGAAGATCAAAATCCCACAATAAATACAATGAGAAAAGGATAAATCATGCAATAAGTTAGCATTTCTATTCTCAATTTTTGGTTTTGTTGCTTTGTTAGCGTAGTTTTATTGATCATCTTTCATATCATCATAGTATTTATACTATTGTGGTATCAAGTGTAACATACAAGTCAAAAGAGTAAAATGGGTAGCGTTTTCACTGAAGCACTGCTTGTTGATCAAAGAGTAATTGAATAGTGTTTTCATTGAAACACTACTTTTTTCATAGTACATATATACTTTGATGTTCTCAAGTAGTATTTTCACCGAAGCATTATATCTTCCTTCTATACCCTGAGTCTCTGATGACATCAATTGGTGATTTAGGAGTGTTTTCACTGAAGCACTGGCTCGTAAGTTTTATTTTAATGTTAGATTTGATGGCTTAGAGTTTTGCTACATTAAAAACAATTAGGTTGATGAATTTATTTGTGGGTGAATGAAGCGATTAACTCTTAAATATGAAGGAGTAAGAGTTCATTAATGGTAGATGAAAGGGAAATATTCATATAATAAGTTACCGTAAATAAACAAAGCATCATTCCTTTTTGAAGTGTATAATTGAAGGAGTACTGCATTCACTTCATACCGAACAAATCATTGGGTACGTGTGTATATCTGATTGATATATTGGTTAAAACAATATATATATATATATATCAGGTATCTTTTCAGTTGAACAAGTCAAGATACAAGTTGTCAAGTTTCTTATAATTTTGTTACTGTTAGGTAAATAATTTATTATCTTTTGATGAGGATGTTTGATCTCTTGAAGGGTTGGTTGTGTAAACAATACAATGACCTACTAATATTGTGTGACTTAATTGTTAAGCACGGCGCATCATGTTTAATTAAGTAAGTTATATGATTTGTATATTTCTGTGTTACACCCCAAATTCAAATCACACTACAGAAATATGTCACTTCAAACAAACATAGAAGAAAGGCACAAACATAAGAATTGATCAGTTCCATGATTGTACTTTATTATTGCAGAATTAAGCTTTTATAACATAAACACACTTAAATTAAACTTAGCAATTGCAAGGGTCACAAGTGCAGTTTGATCCACATTTGCATCCTTCTCCAGCTGCCTTCTCCTCAACCCTTCCATAGCTACGAAATTATATTACAAGTTAAATCTTTAATTAAAATTTCTCAATTTAATAACTATATAGTAACAAGAATAATAGACCTACTTGTGGACGGGTGCAACACCTTCAACGATGCTAAACGTGGCAGACTTCTCCATGTCTGGGTACATTCCACATCTACAATAATATAACTCGAAAAATGTTTAGCGGTTATTTTCATTGACTTTTTGGTTGAGTAAAGAAAAAATAGTAATGCTTTTCATATAAAAAGGTATTAAGCAAGTGGTAACATTTTTAATAAGATTGTGAATACGAGTAACCAAGTGAGCTAATACGTAATTGATAAGTATGGAAATCAAATGAATGTTACCCTCCACAGCCGTTGCCGCACTTGCAGCCAGATCCACAGCCACAGCTTCCACCACAGCAAGACATGTTCACTTAATTTTGTTTTGGGAAATAAGAAATTAATTTGTTGTAAAAGAAAGTTTAATCACTTCTTGTTTTAGTTGTGATCAAATATGAAGCATACAATGAGGGGTTTTATAGGAGAAAAAAAATGGTGTTTGTGTGCCTAACACGTTGACAATCAAATGAGAATTTGTATTTAAGTAGTAATTTATTTTATTAATGTAAGAAAAATCTATATTCCCTTTTTTTATTTAGAGGAGAAAGGCGTGGAGCTTGCTGCCAAAATGAGTAGAATTGATCAGCCACCCCACACAATGTTTGACCTTCGTTTGGTGGGTCCTCCTAGAGAAAAATCTCCTATATTTGGATTTAATTGTACTTTTTTAAAAAAAAATTCTTAATTATAAATTTTTTAATTTTGTCATCGCTTTCAAATACATTCCTTGGTTGTTGGTATTGTAATTATCCATTATTTAATGAGATTAATATATCTAATAGGAGATGAATGTATCCGAGAGAGGATAAGAATATATTTGAAAAGGGATAGAAATGCATCTGAGAGGAAATTTTTATAATTTTTTAAAATGATAAATTTTTTTAAAGATTATAATATATTAAATTATGTATTTATGTATTTTTTTCTTAAATTATATACTCAACTAAAAAATTAAAGTACGTAATTACTTTTAAAAACATGAAATTGGCTATGATAGTTGTCGATATATGGATTCTAACTTATTAGTTGGTAAAACACTGTTAATTAACTAATTGAAGTTTCTTATAATTCATAGTATAATTCAAAATTAAATGAAATTAGCATGAGATTTTTCAATATACTTTCTCTATCAAACAGTAATTGTCCACTATTGATTTGACACACCTCTTAAGAAACAACAAATAATAAGGGTAATATTATTGAATTATCCTTTGACTTTGTTAAATTTAATGATTTGAGAAATGTGTTAGATGATAAATATTATTTAATAGCAAGTTCAAATGGACGTAAAAGATAAATTAGCTCTTGATTTTCTAAATAGGATAATTATTATTGGACAACTATGTTTAATATAGTAAGAATTAAAATACTCCCTCTTTTTTTGGTTAAGGCTCAAAGTGATCTTTGCGTTTTCACATAGAGCACTAATAATCCCTCATGTTTGTAATATTGGTGTACTTTTGGTCCTCCAAAATTTTACCTATTTTTTAGCATTGCTTTTATTCATAACCTATATATGAAATGTTCAATCGTCATTTTATATATTTATTAGAAATAACAACTCCATATGAAAGAATGTGAGAAGAAAAACATTTTATTTTGTTTAGTAGAAATTGTATTGCAAGTAAATTTGAGATTTTCATCACGATAATTTCACTTGCAATAGTGGAGTTTTTTATTTTTCTGCAAAGTGTCATATGATAAGATTTTCTTAGTTTAGCTACAGTAATAATACTAATGAACAGAATAAAGTGTTTTTCTTATCACCTTCTCTCAGATAGAGTTATTATTTCTATTAAATATATGAAAATACGATTGGACATTCTTATATAAAATTTTGGACAAAATTAATATTGAAAAATAGACAAAATTTTAGGGGAAAACCAAAAGTCCACTAATATTGCAAACATGGGGGACTATTAGTGCTTCATGTGAAAACTCAAGTATCACTTTGAGCCTTAACCCAAAGATGAGGGAGTATTTTGAGTCTTTCCTCTAATATAGTTGACAACTATTGTTGGACGATAAAAGAGAATGGGATTTATAAAATTTTAAGCTATTAAATAACATTATCCAATTAGTATCGAATTGTTGGTGACGTGACTTTAATTTCTTACCTATATAATTTGATTCCACTTGCTTTTGATAAATGTAGACCTTTTATTTTGTTCCATTAAATAATTTCCAAAAGCATCAACAAGACCATATTCATTTTCCTGTCTCAATCAATCTAACTAGATAGGCATATATTTGGAGTTTTTAGATTCTTGAAAAACTTAGCAACATAAGAACCAAATAAAATGTTCTTTGTTAAATTCTCCATGTATCACTTATTTGATAGTATTAGGACTTTGTCCAAGAGTTCTTAGATTTTAACTACTACAAAACTTGCACTAACAAGTAGGTAGAGGCACAATAACCATAAAATGAGCATAATATATTATTATTTTGGTATAATGGAAAAGACAAAAGGTTTATATGATAATTGATGTTAGTTGTGTGACGCATAATAAAAAATTTCTTTGTATTAGGGATGTGCGATGAGGTAGTAAAAATCTTTTGAGAAACTTTCACATATAGCAAACACAAAATTTATATTTGTATGCTATAGCAAAATTTGCATAATTGCGCTTCATAGGAAACATAAATATGTATAATTCGATGTACATAAACAAAGAAATCAATTGTATAATTTGCTATACATATACAAAGAAAGCAGTTGTATACAAATCAATTGTATAATTTATATATGTACAAAACAAGAAAGAGAGAAAGACAAAAGGAAATTGAGCAGAGAAATATTTGTATTGTATAATTATAAGTGTATAGGACAAAAATATATGTACTTGCAAGTGCATATACAATTTTTCTCACTCGATACAACTGAAACGCAATTTATACATTTTGTTTTTGTTTGTATAAGCGATAGAGACGAGGGTGGCGAGCGAGATCTGTGATAGGGGAGAGAGGGGAACGAAAAATATATAAATAATATATATATATATATGTATATATAAATTCTCATTTTTTACACATGAAAACACATTTTGTACATTTGTGTTTGTATAAAAGTGAGTTTGAGCGAGCAAGAGATGGAGAGAGAGAGAGAGAGAATGGCGAGCGAGAGCTTGAGGAAGATAGGTGTCTGGCAAACAATTTGCTACAGGGTACAATTAAATTAAAATGTAATTATAAAATTTAATTTAATTTATTAATTTGTCATTATATACGATTTTCCCAAATCTTTTTGCCCTTAATTTCTAGAAATTTCAGATTTAATTATAAAACTAAGTCTTCTTATTTTTATAAAGACCATTAAAACCTTCATATTTAATATTTTCTTTAGTATGAATTTCAATAATTCAGATCATTGCATTTTGGATGATAAGAGACTAGGAAATGCTCATAATAGGTCCGTTTTATTTTTCTATTTCCAGCCGTCCAATATGGTGTTTCATCAAGTCCTTTTTTCTTTTGGTGAATACATACTATATGTCTTACAGGATAATATATAGGCTCAATACATAAATATATCGTTTAACTTGATTTTAAATTATATTTATGTCTTTTAATTTTGATAGTGTACAAATAGATACTTAAATTTGTATAAAATTGAATAGACACAAATGTCCTACATGACATTTTTTGTCCTACGAGTATTGTGGCATGTAGGACGCATGTGTTTACTTGTTCAACTTTATACAAGTTTAAGTATCTATCTGTGCATATCTAAAGTTGAAGGATATAAACGTAAAATGAAGTCAAGTTAAAAAACACTTTTATGTATTATGTATAATATATATATATATATATATATGTATATCCTACCTCTTCCCACATCATTTGTAGAATACACCAAGTCTGCTATACTTATTCATTTTATATATATCAACTTAAAAAATATAAAATCTTTCTATCAAGTTCGACTTCAGGTCCTCAAACTTATTAAAACAATCTTGAACATATGTTGTCTCCCAATAGCACTGAGATATGAGATGTTTTATCATATTTAGTAAGAAGATACTCAAACAACTTTTGTATGTGTTTGAGATCTAAACCTTGGTCTAAATTTTAATTCAATCGTTAAATATATGAAAATAAAACACAAAGATATCATAAACTACTACGTACTTCAAGTTTTTTTACTTTCTTGTATTTTAAATTCAATTCATTTCAATACAAGATATAAGAGAAAGTTCAATTTCCCCTTGGTCTCGTTGTCTCCGCCATCATAAAATGGATTGGACATAATTATTTATTCAGTGAATATAAATTATTTGACTATTTGGTCTATCAATTATTTGGCTACACATATAATAGAGCTTCACCATTTTTTAAAAATACAAATTTGCCAAAACTAATAAGTGCATAATTAAAACAAATCGCCATTGAGTCTAAAGATGAAATAAAAGAAAATATACAGATAAAATTGGTATTATTATTTTAGCTTAAAAAGTTGATTGACTAAAAATATTAAATCTCTAGCAAAAACAATACATAAATTTATCTTACTAAACATACTCAATTTCTAGTTAAGTTATTCTTCTATAGTATAAGAGGCTAGAAGCACACGACTAATCGTCGATATGTTGATTAAGTTACGTGCTTACCCTCATCCAAAGTTGCTTGGCTTAGTGGTTATAGTTATTGAACCTAGGTACGGTAACTTGCACCAAATTTTATACCAAAAGGAAAAAAAGTTCTCCTTCATTATTGTATTATTATTGCTTATTTCGTTTATGTTATCGTATTTTATATTAAAAAAAATATTTCTAAAACATTCACCATATATAATTCATATTTTTTTATAGTCGTTTAATATAAAGTTATTCGAAAAAGGGTCTAAAATATCCTCAAAGTATTGAAAATAGTACAAAATTATCCTCCATCCACCTATTTGCTCCAAAATATACTTCCCACCCACCTATTTGGTTCAAAACACCCTTGTCATCCACCTTTTGGTTCATAATTGACCACTTATTTAACGATTTTATATTTAAATATTATTTTAAATATGTGGCGCTCAACTATTTGTTATAATTGAACTTATTAATATAATTTATAAATCAATCCAATACTCACCCATTACTAATTAAATCCCTCCAAATTAATAAACCCGTTACATTATTAATGCAACAACAGAAAAGCTACTGCCAATTGATTTGAAGCGAAAAATATCTATAGAAGTAAATTATCATACATTCAAGTGTCTAAATAAAAATTACCGATAAACTTAAATATCTGACTATGTTCATCTTAATTAATCTTACGTCTCAATTATGTGATGTTACTTCATAGGTAACTTCTTTTCAAAATAATATATTAAAGGTTTTAAAACAAATCATAAATATTTATAAGATTATATTTTTAAAAAGTGCATGAATTGATT